AATATTGCCATCAGCCATCAAGTTGTAAATAACACTGGACAATCAGGAATGGTCAGTTCAGTGATCGTAACAGAGTATATAAAACATACTTTTTATAAATTCTATAAAATTTTCACATCAAAAAGGTCAATGACATGGGATTGGGATATTTTTGAGTGACATATCAATAAAATCTTGTCAGTAACTCCAAGAGAATCATGGCTTTTACTGCCTTCTGTGAAATCCATGAAAACACACATGCAAAATATACAAAAGGAATTCAAGTTTTGTTGAAAGTTTTTTTGTTTTTCTTACAGTTTACTATATACTATACACTGATCCTAGACAGAGAACCAGGCAGTGATAGATTTGATTAGAGATTTACGTATTTATCCATGAGGGTAAGAAGTGAGACAACTTACAGAGAGAGAGAGAGAGGTTTTGCCACATGGGTAAAATACCTGGAACCAAACTCAGTGAATTTTACCATGTCCTAACTGAAAGCAAGATCATTGCTGATGGATCGAATAAACATTATTTTAATCCCAACCTGAAGGTGATACTTTAATCTTAATATTTCTGATAAGATATAAAAACTTAGCCCAAGGCCAGATAAGTGGAATAGCAAGAGAGCTGATTTGATTGGTTGATTGATTGGTTTGCTTTTTTGATGGCTTAACTTTTTATAGGTTATTTAAAGCCAGAAAGTATTTTTGAATTGTAAGAACCTTTTGTAGATAATAATGATTTACTGATACAAGTCCTAATATTTAACCCATAGCTGAGAGAAAAGAGGTGGATTCTTACCCTTCCCAAGAGTATATGCACGTATATATAATGATGTGCATATACCCTTTCCCAAGTGTATATGCACAGATATAATGAACCGAACTGAAACTTGGCTCTCCAATTTCCAATTATAAGCTGTTTTATATTATATCACCCACACATCCAAGCTTACAGCACTTGGCAGTCACACAGTCACCTATTTAGGTACTGACCAGGCTTGACATTGCTTAACTTTCACTTCGCACATGACTTGGTGTTTCAATGTCATATGGCTATAAGCACGCTGGTTTGTCATTACAAAAATGATACTAATCTCTCATGAAACCAATAAATGATCTCAGGCAGAAAAGAGGGCTACTGAAAGACACTGATCTGGGGAAGATCACACAGATACTCTTATCCTTACTATAAGTACTATCTTCTTTTGGATGTCATGTGTCTTCTAGATATGGGCAATCATGGCTCTACATAACTTCCAACTCTTGTAGTTCTATGCAATATTTGACTCTTTACAATCTCTCTGTCCCCCACTTTGCACAAACTTGTTAGGTAGATTACTTGATGTTACCCCTCTTGCCTTGAATATATCCTGTGAGTGTTAAATTCTTTCTTTATTAGTTCCCCAGAATTTTCAACTGTTTCTTTCTGATTATGTCCTTTGAGCTCTCATTTTCCTTAAAACTTCCTCATCGCTCACATGTCTAATTCATAGTATTCTCAGCAGCCACCTGTTGCTTCAAGACTTCTTTGACATTCATACCATAAAGAAAGATAGATATCATATGAAAGTTCAAGCTCTTTTTCTTTATTTCTAACAAAATTTTGTTATCTCTTAATACTTTTAGTTTCTGAAAGGCATCTTTCACTATTCCAATGCACTTCAGATTTCTGTCGCACATCTTTTCATCTATTACTACACCATCTAGATAGTTACATTTCTGTAGCTGCTTGATTTTGAAGCAAAATTTTATAACTTTTTGCTATACTAGAGTTACCTCTCTTGAACTCTGAAATTATACATTTTATATATACTAGTTTTAACCTGTGAAAATTTTACAGTTTTCCCATTTTAAGTTTCTGATGAATCTTAATTCTTCAGTTAATGTTTGAATAAGCTCATGGCAAGTTCTACAATAACATATCCATAGAAACTATCCCTTCATTAAATATTTGAGCTTAACGTTAACAAAATATTGCAATAGCAATAAATGTGAATGCTGGTTGTTATTTTAAGAATAGGCAGGTACAAATGAAAATATCTGAAACTGACAACTTTTGTCCATTTCACTGAAATTTTATTTTCTCACTGAAAACAAGTAGCAGCTTTGATATGCCTTGTCTTCTCACATGATCAAAACAGAATAGTCCATTATTTATAGAGTATTATCAGGAGACATTAAACACTTTTTTTTTCCACTGAAACCAAGTAACATCTCTGATATGTCTTGTCTTTCCATGCAATCAAACAGGAATAGTTCATTATTTATGAGGTATTGACGGGGTGTAACAGTTGTGAAAACTAATGAAGTGAAGTACAAGCACAATTATTATATATTTATAAAGAGTCAAATCTAATATGTGCCTTAGCAAAATGTGCTATCATTTTTGACAGCTTGGGTAAACAAGTATTAATTTAACATTTTAAGAGGCATAAAGTGGGGATAGGTCTTTTGTTGTTATTAGGTAATAAACTAATTCCCAACATTAAAGCATATTAATAATTGTAAGAAATATTTAAAAGATACAAGCCTTCCAATCATAATAAGAACTTAAATAAAAACAAAAACTAGTACATAACAAACCTGGAAATGACCAAAGATACTAACAAATCTGGATTATTCTAGTTCATCCTAATTGTAATCTTCAAGAAAGAAAAACAAATTTCAAACCAAAGTAAATGATCTCTTCATTAATGAAGTGTTGAATTCAACTCAAACACATAATCAATCAGTAGAGATTAATAACTAAAAAAAAGTTATGGCCTCTCTCTTGTTTTGTGTTTAAATATTTTCCTCGTTGTTTCATTTATAAGAGCTTCATCTTCTGAAGACTGTGATGGGGTTATGCCAACTTGTCTGCCAGTATGCACCTTAGGTGGTGTTCTATTCAAGACTATAAAAGGAACAGACATGAACCTTCTCTCTTTTTTGACCTGCAACAACATCAGGACTTGTCTCTGCTAGGGAAGATTTCTTTATTCAGGTAAGCTGACTAGTTAATTTCAAACAAACCACACACTTTCTCTATCACACACACAAACAACTAAGCACATAAATGTTTATTTCCTTTATTTAAGCTATCTTTACACACACAATTTCTTTTATGAGCTATGATGTTCTATATACAGAAATATGTATTAAAATCTTCCACATGTTGAATTCAATTCTTTTGAGAATATTGAATTCATTTTACTTTGAAAGTCCTCATTGTAATCAGCCACAACTAGTAATTCCTCACACTACAAACTGATGACCAACAGCAACTTTGCCCAATACTAATTGTAACATACAAATTATAACCCTCCCCTCACAATTTGATCATACAATACAAATTGTGGCACTTATTTAGCTACAACCTAAAGAAAAATGCACAACACTGGTTGATCTCGATATTCTGCAAGCCTGTTCCTAAAACTAAAAAGGAACCCACCACTTTCTACTAATGCTAAGCAACACTGCCTCATCATTAATCAAGGAGGTCAAACAATTATTAGTGTATTATTATAATTTAACACATCCTGGATATGATCACAGGAACATACTACTAGTATCTATTTAGAAACACAACTCACTTCCTCTGCTCACCCCTTCCAGATTAGGAAATAATTCAGAGATCAAATAAAGGGCACCAATTTCAAGCCAGAGGAAGGAGAGGATGGTGTGAGAATTTTATTTGGGAAGTAAACCTATGACAGAACCAGGAGTAATTGCAAAGAAAAGGAAAAGATTTAAAGAAAGGAAAGAAAAGACAGTGGCTTTTTGAGAGTTATTTCCTCATCTTTGTTGTCAACTGGTTCAAAAGAAACATTGTGTAACAACACCATCTTCTGAAAAAAAAAATTCAGACAAAAAGAGGGCAGCAAGGAAGAGGAAGAAAAGAGTGATAAAGAGGATGCAACAAGGGAGAAAAAAAATAAAAATCCTGATAAAGGGGGAGTAATGAGGAAGAGAAAGATAGAAAAGACTGGATTGTGGGGAAGGGAGACAATGAAGAAGATAAAGAAAAGAGTGAGGAAGAGGAAAGGAAGAAAAAATAGAATGAGAAGGTGAGTAAGAGAAAAAAAAAAAACAGAAATAAGAGAGCCCAAAGAAAAAGAAGAAATTATAGAGAAATAAAGAAAAAAGAATCAAGATTCAGAATGTAAATAAGGGCAGAAATATGAAGTCATTGAGAGTTTCAAAGACAAAAGCAAATGGTAGAAAGTAAAATTATTTTTTTAAAATTGGAAAGAAAATATTTTTAACACAAGAGGTAAATACTAAAAATCCTTTCACAAAGATTAGGTTAATAAAAGACATAAGAATTTAATTAGAGTGAGGAGAGAGTGTGTGAGAGAGAGAGAAATGGTTTTTATTTTCTTCCTGCAGCATCCAATCAGGGTTTAGAAACAGTAAAGCAAATGTCATTGGAGATAACTCTTTCATTCAAACAATAAAACCCTCAATAAAACCTTATTCTTTTGATCAGGAATTAGTTTATTGCAGAGAAAAGTAACCCACCAGAATGTAGGCACTGTATTATTGGAATTTATTCTTGATTGTTTCTTAAAGAACAAAGCAAAAGATTGAAATTGGAAGAATACATCCAGGTTTTCCTCAAACCAAAGAAAGACTTTTGCTAGGTGTTCTTAAACAATGCACCAAATATTTTCTCTTCAAACATTTTAGTATTTATATTTTCATGTAAAATTCAAAATCAATTTAGAATCAAAGAAATCCAAAGAGAAAAAAAAAAAAAAAGATAGTAATAAAATAATGTGAAAGAAAGAAAAAGAATCAAGGGAAGGAAATAAAGATACATTCAGTCATAAAGGGAAAGAGAGACAGAGGAAGAAAACAACAGAGAGAGGGGAAGACAATAGGAAACAACAAAAAGTGTGGACCTTACAGCAGCACCTCCCTTATTGCACTAAAGGAGGAGTAATGAGTTACAATGTTAGTATAATAGTGGTTACAGGGACTGGGAAATGATTGTATATGTATACAGACTCCACATTCGGCTGGCGAATACTGTCAAAATGTGGAGAGAAGAAAAAGATGGAGAGAGAGTGAGGATGAACGGATAGACAGAGAGAGAGAGAGAAAACGAAACAAGTGAACCGAGAGATAGAGAGAAAACAAAATGACAAGTGAACCGAGAGAGAGAGAGAGAAAGAGAAAAACAAAACGACAAGTGAACCGAGAGAGAGAGAGAAACAAAACGACAAGTGAACCGAGAGAGAGAGAGAGAGAAACAAAACGACAAGTGAACCAGAGAGAGAGAGAGAGAAACAAAACGACAAGTGAATTGAGAGAGAGAGAGAGAGAAACAAAACGACAAGTGAACCGAGAGAGAGAGAGAGAAAAAAACGACAAGTGAACCTGGAGAGAGAGAGAGAGAGAGAGAAACAAAAGCGACAAGTGAACCGAGAGAGAGAGAGAAGAAAAACAAAACGACAAGTGAAGAGAGAGAGAGAGAAAAACAAAACGACAAGTGAACCGAGAGAGAGAGAGAAAAAACAAAGCGACAAGTGAACCTAGAGAGAGAAAAAAACAAAAGCGACAAGTGAACCGAGAGAGAGAAAAAAAACAAAACGACAAGTGAACCGAGAGAGAGAGAGAAAAAAACAAAACGACAAGTGAACCGAGAGAGAGAGAGAGAAAAAACAAAACGACAAAACGACAAAAAAAAAGAGAGAGAGAGAGAAAAAACAAAAGACACGTGAACCGAGAGAGAGAGAAAACAAAAGCGACACGTGAAACGAGAGAGAGAAAAAAAACAAAACGACACGTGAAACGAGAGAGAGAGAAAAAAAAAAAGCGACACGTGAAACGAGAGAGAGAGAAAAAAAACAAAAGCGACAAGTGAAACGAGAGAGAGAAAAAAAAAAACAAAACGACAAGTGAACCGAGAGAGAGAGAAAAAACAAAACGACAAGCGAACCGAGAGAGAGAGAGAGAAAACAAAATGACAAGTGAACTGAGAGAGAGAGAGAAAACAAAATGATAAGTGAACTGAGAGAGAGAGAGAGAGAAAAACAAAACAAGTGAACCAAGAGAAAGAGAGAAAAACAAAACGACAAGTGAACCGAGAGAGAGAAAAAAAAAAAACGACAAGTGAACCGAGAGAGAGAAAAAACAAAATGACAAGTGAACCGAGAGAGAGAGAAAAAACAAAACGACAAGTGGAGAGAGAGAGAGAGAGAGAGAAAAAACAAAACGACAAGTGGAGAGAGAGAGAGAGAGAAAAAACAAAATGACAAGTGAAGAGAGAGAGAGAGAGAACAAAAAATAAAACTGAGAGAGAGAGAGAGAGTGAAGAGAGAGAAAAACAAAACGACAAGTGAACCGAGAGAGAGATAGAAAGAGAGAGAGAGAGAAAACAAAATGCCAAGTGAACTGAGAGAGAGAAAACAAAACGACAAGTGAATAGAGAGAGAGAAAAAAAATGCCAAGTGAACTGAGAGAGAGAAAACAAAACGACAAGTGAACCAAGAGTGAGCGGAAAAAAAACAAAACAGGCGAACGGAGAAAGAAAACAAAATGCCAGGCGAACGGAGAAAGAGAAAAAACAAAACGGAGAAAGAAAAGAGAAAATAGGAGAACGGAGAAAGAAAAAAAACAGCAGGCGAACGGAGAAAGAAAACAAAACGGCAGGCGAACGGAGAAAGAAAGAGAAATGGCAGGCGAACGGAGAAAGAAAGAAAACGGCAGGCGAACGGAAAAAAGAAAGAAAACAGCAGGCGAACGGAGAAAGAAAGAGAAACGGCAGGCGAACGGAGAAAGAAAAGAGAAACGGCAGGCGAACGGAGAAAGAAAAGAGAAACGGCAGGCGAACGGAGAAAGAAAGAGAAACGGCAGGCGAACGGAGAAAGAAAGAGAAACGGCAGGCGAACGGAGAAAGAAAGAGAAACGGCAGGCGAACGGAGAAAGAAAGAGAAACGGCAGGCGAACGGAGAAAGAAAGAGAAACGGCAGGCGAACGGAGAAAGAAAGAGAAACGGCAGGCGAACGGAGAAAGAAAGAGAAACGGCAGGCGAACGGAGAAAGAAAGAGAAACGGCAGGCGAACGGAGAAAGAAAAGAAAGCAGGCGAACGGAGAAAGAAAAGAGAAACGGCAGGCGAACGGAGAAAGAAAGAGAAACGGCAGGCGAACGGAGAAAGAAAGAGAAACGGCAAATGAATGGAGAGACAAAACAAGTAGAGGAAGAGCAAACATACAAAAACCAGGAGAAGCAATAGAAAAATTTTGTTTCCTAGATTTTTTTTTCCTCTGCTTCTAAATTAAACAAAGTCTATGCTATGTATATAAATTTTTCTTCCAGAAAAGATTCAGCAACATCTGACAGTAAAATGAATGATTATTACTAATGCATGAAAAATAAGAAAGTAAATCTGCAAATCCTTTTCAAATGTCTACAAGAAATTCAGAAGAAAAATCAATAATTTTCTGTCAACTGACTTTCAAAAGCCATCACTAGTTAAAATTTTAGTTTTTTTCTTTTGTTTTTTTTATTACCATAGTACTTCCGGACATGGGCAACCATGACTCTACAGATTTTTTTGTTATCTGTGAATTGATATGCATTCTAGGTAAGATAGTAGAGTAATTTCCCATTGCCTTCACCAAGGCATGAAATTATTCATTTAAAAATGACAGTAGAATCTAAAAGATTTAGATTATAAATCTATTATATTCTATTGTAACCAAAATTTTAAAGTTAAACTCTGGAAGATAATCAAGATGAGAATTATAATCTGTTATATTCTAACACCAACTACATTTCAACACAATACACATATTACAGTTTTTCTTATTGGCATCCACTGATTTTGTCTATCATTCCTATACTTGGCTTGCTGCCCAATAAAATGATGAAAGATAATTACTTCTGGTGGTAGGGATGAAAATATAATTAAAAAAAAATGTTATCTTGCAAATTCTTAGCTATTTTTTAAAAGTTTACTTCCAGTATTCAATCTATGTTGTGCATTGAAAAATCAAGATACAAAAAAGAGGTGTCAAGGATTAATGCATGTGTTACTCACAGAATAGTGCTATTATATGTTTAACATTCTTATACCAGTATTTTAATTATAGAATTACTACAGGGCCCTGTTTATAATGGCCTGATAATCTTTACAATGTAATTATCATTGTTTTTTTGCCAGTAACATCAAAATGAAATGACAAGCCTCGGACACCATAAAATGTAAAGAGAAATATCTCATTTCTTTTACATCACTAAATTACAATAGGAATAAAAGAAACATTGTCTTTCGCATTTTTCATGTGCCACAACCCCACATACACTTGTTCCACTGTCATCTGTTATTGTTTTTTTAGTCTCCAAGTTTTCCTACCAAATATATTTATCTGGAAAATCAAGAACCATTCATTGCAGTTTAAAAGAAAATCAACATCTGGCACTGACTCACCACAGAGTGTCCCCACCAAAAAAACACCTAGCTTCCCATAAAACTTATTTCTATCCTTTTTCCAGTGGATAAGAAAATACCTAAAAATCAAAGTATTTTCTTTTTCTTTTATTATTATTACTACTACTTACTATTACCAAGTATTGCCACTACATGTTACTACTATGTATTACTATTACATATTCATATTACTAGTATGTATTACTACTATTACATATTATTTCCAGGTGAACATCCTTATTTTACCATGTTTTAATTGGTATCCCCTCCAACCTTTCCAAATTTGTTAGGAGTGATGAAAATATTTTTTTAAAAATCAGTCAACATTACAACCTTTCTTTATTCTTCCGGTTTTCAGATGACCCTTTGCCAGATACTTTCTGGTTATAACAAAAAAAAATCTTTTAAAATATAAACATAACCTTCTTTTTCACAGATTACTTACATGAATTTATATGGCATGACAAATTTGGTGATAATGTATTTAAAAATGTTTTCATTCATATCATATCTTTAAACTTAGCAATAAAATATATAAACTTGTCTTTTCTAGATTCTTTAACATTTCCAAAATTACAATGGTGGGACAATTAAACATTCACTCTATTTTGACTACTACAGGAGGAGAGTATGTGTGACTGACTAAATTTATGTTAGCAATCCATTGTCAGTAATTTTTGCTTGTTACACCTCGTTTTTTCTTCTTATATTGTCCAACCGTAGTTCTAAGGCAATCATTCTCAAAGACATTTTCTACAATCTTCTTTTAGGTACCATGTTTCTCCAATTTAAGTAGCAATAGGAATAATTAATACAGAAAAAAAATCATACTTTAATAACACTGGCTTAGTAAAGAAAAAATTATTTTGCTGGTTCAGCCATGTAGTTCCAAGAGAATAATCCAATTAAGTGTTTTCAATCAGTTATGTGCCTTGCATGATACATGCTTAGGCAATCATGTATCTTTCAATACATGTCTGATGAGGCAGATTTTTTTCCCGCAGTAGGTTGCCATTTCTTTCTGCAGTAGACCAATTGCCATCCAAGGCTATAGAACCCAGTTTGTCCTGCTATTTAGCCATAGCTGGAGGGAGAAGAGGATTAATACCCTTCCCAAGGGTATTAGCACATAAGTGAATGTAATGGATTCGACTAGAATTCAAACTCAGCTCAGATTCCTCAATCCAAGACGCTATCCATTACTCAACCTTACAAGCATTGGAAAGACCAAATTAAAAAAGGACACTAATCTCTCTCTGCTTACAACAGAAAAACTAGCAAAATTTAGATATCAATGGAAGGATTGTATGAAGAGTTGTGCAAGGATCCTGTAACAGATTAGGCAGCTAATGTAAAGTAAGATTTATTGTCCATAACTTGGAAAAGTGTCATTGTTAAACCCTTGAATCTCTTACTGTTGTTATTAATACAATGTTCAACAAATCTATTCTTCAGTACTCATTCGGTATCTTCTAAAAGAAACGTTAATCTTCCAGGAACAACCCAAAATAGCAATGATCATTAATGCACTGTTTAAATAGACTGGGCCGCTCATAAGTAAGTTTTGTAGATTAGCATTCATTAGACCTTCTTCAAGGCATGATATTTGTCAGAATTGAAAAATACTTAACTTTTATTTTAGAATGGGTGCCCTGTTCATAATATTGATACTATGTAAAATCAATCCCTGATTTTTTAAAGAATTATCTGAATTTAACTTATTTACAAATGTTAAGTTTGAAAGTTCTGACATTGAAACTGAATATTGGAGATTTGTTTATAATGATGTTCACCCTGTATAAGGCCCAAGAGCCACTCGAGATAGATGGTTACAGAGTAAGAGACAGTTGATGGGGATATGTTGGGAAGATAGTAATTGTGAGTTAAATTCCTGGACCAGACAATGTGTACTTGAACTCAATGGCATCTGAGTGAGCACTCATAATCCTGAGAAGTGGCCTATCTTATTCTCTAGGAAGAAATCCCAGCATGCATTTATTTATTTAGTCTATAAAATGGGGAGGGGGAAGTATTTTGCAGTCATTCTTGGGCCAGACAATGTGTATTTGAACTCAGTGGAATCTGGGTGAGCACTCACAGAGCAGTACTAAATAAGAACATGATAAACGTAGGGATGGAAGGTAGAATGAGAACAGCCTACTCCCATAGATTAAATAAAGGCTTCAATTTAAAGTTCTCTTAAGGCTACCAAGATTGACAAGGACCTGAAGAAAGCCAGAGAGCACAACAGCCAATATGTTGCAATGATGACAACAAAGATGAGGATAATGATGAAAATTTTGTAGAGTAATTGGCCATGGTTAAATGTAATTGCCAGAAATGCCCAACAGAATTGACAAGGTTTACAAGAAAATGAAAAGAACAGGGCAAAAATAATATTAAGCAAACAATATATGCAAGACAAATAATAAGGCAAAAAGTTCACAAACTAAGAATGGTATTAACACACAAAAGGGGATACAGACAAGCGATTGCAATGTTCTGACTTCAAGAACAGAACTAAGTCTGATGAGATTGAGAATTGGCCTATCTTATTGGCTAGGAAAAAATTCCAGCATGCATCTGTGTTTTGGCTATAAATTTGGAGAGGGGATTTTTTTTTTTTTGCTGTCATTCCCTATCAGATTAGAGCCAACAAATAATTCCTTGTCCATATCAGTGGGTGTTCTTCATATGCCCTGCTTCAGTTCTTGCCTGGATTGGAGAAAAAATTAACTTTTAGATTGATTTTTTAAAATCAAATTCACATCTGCAGTTTTAGAAGAAACTATGAATCAAGTTCAAAATTGTGGGATTAGAATAAGAATCTGCTTGTTCTTCTCAATGCATATTTATTACATTAAGCAGTCAGAATTTAATTCTAATATATTACACGGCACCTGCTACACTAAAATAACATTTTATCAAGAGCCCCAAAGACAAGAATGAAGAAAAAAAAAAAAAGGATTAGAAAGACTCTTTTGTTCTTTCTCTTCACTGAATTTATATTGTATGCACATGTGTAAATAAACATGAATGGAAATTCAAAAAAAAAAAAAAGAATTACAAAATCATCATTAAGTTTCTGCTTTTTCTGGCATGCAAGAAACAGTATAAATCTTAATGGAAAAATAAAATACATTAGAACACTGGCTGACATTTTTGGAAATCTGGCATTTATATTTTAAAAATTTAAAAGTAAAGTAACTCATGAATGCGTCTGAGTTATTAACGAGTACATCAATATGTACATAGCCTAATGATGAAAAAAAAATTTATTTTAAACCCTTTTGCAACAAAAAGTGAATATATCTGCTCAAAATTTTATTATTTTTAACTACAGAAAGCAGATTTACCACATGGCTTTAAAAAGAAAAAAAACAAAAACTTATGCTACTAAATGCTTTTATTTTTTTTGGTGGATAATTAACATCATTACAGGATAAGCATGAAATTTAATTAGGCAGTGAAACAAATATTTTTCAGCATTCCCAGTCCTTGTCAATGCATTCAATTCAGCAGTGAATATTAATCACACAGATTACATTGAAAATATCAGACCAAAGATTACTTAATAACTAGCTGCCACGTTACAGATTTATTGATCTTCATATAAAAAAAGTCCCAAAAAGCAAAGAAAAAATAAACATAAAATTAAAAAACTATTTACATTATTTGATTAATGCCCTTATCTTTGTTATCACAACATTTTGGACACTGTGCCCTCAAGGAATTTTGAAATTACCCTTTCATTTAATCTACATGGGTAGATTGTATAGT